TGGGAATGATCACGGGATGAGATGGGAATGATCACGAGATGAGATGGGACTGAACACGGGATGAGATGGGACTGAGCGCGGGATGAGATGGGGCTGAGCACGGGATGGGATGGGACTGAGCACCGGATGAGATGGGACTGAGCACGGGATGAGATGGTACTGACCACGGGATGAGATGGGACTGACCACGGGTTGAGATGGGACTGAGCACGGGATGAGATGGGACTGAGCACGGGATGAGATGGGACTGAGCACGGGATGAGATGGGAATGATCACGGGATGAGATGGGAATGATCACGGGATGAGATGGGACTGAACACGGGATGAGATGGGACTGAGCACGGGATGAGATGGGACTGAGCACGGGATGAGATGGGACTGACAGCGGGATGAGATGGGACTGAGCACGGGATGAGATGGGACTGACAGCGGGATGAGATGGGACTGACCACGGGATGAGATGGGACTGAGCACGGGATAAGATGGGACTGAGCAAGGGATGAGATGGGACTGACCACGGGATGAGATGAAACTGAGCACGGGATGAGATGGGACTGAGCACGGGATGAGATGGGAATGATCACGGGATGAGATGGGAATGATCACGGGATGAGATGGGACTGAACACGGGATGAGATGGGACTGAGCACGGGATGAGATGGGACTGAGCACGGGATGAGATGGGACTGACAGCGGGATGAGATGGGACTGACCACGGGATGAGATGGGACTGAGCACGGGATGAGATGGGACTGAGCACGGGATGGGATGGGACTGACCACGGGTTGAGATGGGACTGAGCACGGGATGAGATGGGACTGAGCACGGGATGAGATGGGAATGATCACGGGATGAGATGGGAATGATCACGGGATGAGATGGGACTGAACACGGGATAATAAAGCCTCTGTTCGTTGAAGCCGAATAGGATTGGTCCATTCTGTGTGACGTGGCGTGTGACGTGACGTCGGCAATTTATTCGGTGAATATTTGAGGAATAATATTTTTTAAATAATTTTATTTTTTAATTTAGCTTGATATTTTATTTTTATAAACAATGTTTCCTAAAAGAGCCCTTTCTATTGTTGAGGCCATCGAAGCAAAGCAACGTCGTATTGAACAGCAGCGACAAAGACGTTTAAATTCACCCGTAAGAGAACGGCATAATGAACAACAACGGCAATACCGAATGAATATGAGCGAAAATCAAAGAGCCCTTCAAAGGGAAAACAGTAGGCTGAGGATGCAAAGAATTCGACAGGGAGATAATCTACCTTTGCCAACAGGGACATGTTTCGAGGAAGATCAAATTCCTCTGCACTTTTGTGGCCAACTTGATCAAGTTTGCCCAAAATGTAGAGCAAAGTATTTCGAATTGGAACAAACGACATACAGTAAAACTTTTCATAAATGCTGTTCCAAAGGAAAAGTCGAACTTGAACCGATTCAAACCTCTCAATCCACCTGCTCTAGCCGATCCTGTCCTTGGACGGGCTTTTCTACTAGTTTAATATAAAATGCCAATATTTCAATAGGCTATACGCCTAACTTCATCAGGGCGGTTCATGTTTTTAAACTGCTTCGGATGATCACGCGATGCCTTCACGCGACGATATATAAAATATTTACAACTCTGGGGCTAAAATTTAAATATATACACACAAATATCAATAATAATAGACTATATATACATGATTCATATTAAGTATAAGAATAAGAAAATAATTTTAAATCGATTTGAACTGTAAATATAACGGAGGGATGTCAATTTTTCTATTAATACTGTTGGTATCTTTCATTGAGGTCCAACTTTCTAAAAATAGTCTTGAGTGTTTATCCTGAATGTTGTTGTATATAATATTTGTATTTTCAAAATTTGGTATATGGTCCTGTTTGAGTGCGTGATCTACTAGAAGTGATAATGGGCTATGATTTTTAAAAGCTGTTTTGTGTTGATTTACTCTTTCTTCAAGAGTTTTACCTGTTTCTCCTATGTAGGTTGCTGGGCATGATTTGCATGGAATGCGATATACTATATTTGATTTAAATTCATGATTGCTATTATGTTTAGTGTTGGGATGGCGTAGAATTTCTTTCAGATTTGCTGTGGTTTTGTATCGGGTTTTGATATTGTAATTTTTAAGTATTCTTGTTATTCTCTTAATGCCATAATTGTATGGCAGTGCACAGTATTTATTCGATTCTTCACTATTGTTTGTGGGATTGTTGGTGGGCTTATATATATGTTTCTTGATGAAACTTGGAGGATATTCATTATTTTTCATCTCATTGTAAAATATGTTTTGTTCGGATTTGATATTTTTAATATTTGAGGAGCAGTGGGGGGAAATTATTTTAGAAAGTGTTTTTATAACGGATATTTTATGATTAATGGGGCCAAATGAATTAAAATTGAGATATTTGCTTGTATGCGTTGGTTTTCTATATATACTGGTTTCTATTTTGCTATTTATTCTGGTGAGCTTGATGTCTAAGAATGATAAAGAGCTGTTATTTTCTATTTCGTATGTAAAAGTTAAAAATGGCTTTACACTGTTGAGGAAGGTTAGAATATTATCGAGGTTGCTATTTTCACTGATGCAAATGATGTCATCAATATATCGTTTCCAGGCTATTATTTTGAGATGTTTGATTGCAATGATAATATTGTCAATATGATTCATATAAATATTGGCGAGGGGGCAGAAGAAATTGGGTTGCCCATTGGAAGGCCTTTAATCTGTTTATAATACTGGTTTTTGTAACTGAAATAACTGAAGGATAAACATAGGTCGAGTAATTCTTCAAGTGCTTCTTTGGAAATCGTTAAATTAAGTTGTGGATTGGTGTCTATATACACTGCGTGACATTGAAAATGGAACACCAAGAAATAGTGGCCAGAAAATTATGCAAATTTCAGGGTAGACGCGCCTAACCGAGTTATGCAAATGATGTAAAATGCGCAGCTCTCGTGCGCACATGGAGTAAGATATAAGGGAAGGAACTTGCAGAAAGGACAGTATTCGTGTCGTTATTTCTTCAAGGAAAATCATTGTAGAAATTTTGTTCTTGTGTCAAAAGACACGTGTAATAACAGAGAATGCCAGGTCATCGTAAACGGAGGCAGTTCAAGCAGACAGACGCTTTTACGAGGGGCATGGTGATCGGACTGAAAAGGGCAGGTTGGTCCATACGTCAAATCGCAGCTGATACACACCTTGGTGCGTCCACGGTGCACCGACTGTGGAGAAGATGGTTGGTACAAGGAAATGTGGCAATTTATAGGAATGTCGGTGCAACCAGAGTGACGTCAGCACGTGTGGATCGGCGTATCCTTCGACAAGCAGTGGCGGCCCCACAAGCCACTTGTACCGCCATCCTGCAACATGTGCAAGACACCCTAGATCATTCCATCTCGACCAGAACCATTTCCCATCGATTGGTTGCTAATGGCTTGCACTCATGCCGTCCGCTAAGAAGACTGCCATTGACCCCACCGAATAGGCGCCAACGTTTGGAATGGTGCCGGGCTAGATCGACGTGGATGACGGAATGGCACAGGGTCGTGTTCTCAGATGAGTCGCGTTTCTGCTTGTCCAGTGATAGTCGCCGTGTACGCGTGTGGCGTCGACGTGGAGAAAGGTCCAATCCGGCAGCAATTGTGGAACGCCCCCTCGTGCGACAACGTGGAATCGTGGTTTGGGGCGCAATCGCGTATGATTCCAGGTCACCTTTACTTCGTATTCAGGGCACTATGACGGCCCAACGATACGTTGATGATGTGCTGCGACCGGTGACACTCCCCTACATCCAGGGGGTACCCAATGCCCTTTATCAGCAGGATAACGCCCGACCGCACACTGCTCGCATTAGCCAACAAGCTCTGCAAGATGTACAGATGCCTTCCTGGCCACCGTACTCTCCTGATCTCTCACCAATCGAGCACGTCTGGGACATCATTGGACGCCGTTTGCATGCCTTGCCACAGCCGCGTTCAGAAGACGAACTGTGGCAAATGGTTGAGAGGGAATGGAGAGCCATCCCTCAGGACGCCATCCGTACTCTGATTGATTCTCTACCTAGACGTGTTGCTGCGTGCATCGCCGTCCGCGGTGGTCCTACTTGCTACTAAGCCGACGCCGTTCTCGCTCTGTATTATGACTATCATTTTGAAATAAAGATCACTTATTGTTCGTCCCTGTCTCTCTCTGTCTGCCGAGTTTCATCACTTTCTGGCCACTATTTCTTGGTGTTCCATTTTCAATGTCACGCAGTGTATATTAAATATAAAGAAAGCATATCCTGACCAGGAGTACATGTGCTTTACAGAAGGCAGAGCACCATTTTTATTTTTTCTTATATATTTATTTTTAGAACCGTATTTAAACTCAAATTTTATATCAATCCAAATATCTATACACGTAATTCTTCAAAATTTTTATTAAAAAAACTGGATAAAATATGGTTAGATGTTAATAGATGAACTAATAAATAAAATTTACCTGAATTTGATAGATGCTCAGAATATAAACAAGTTTTATAAATGTAAAGTTTTAGATGGAATAACAATGCTGAGAATTTCATACAAACTCATCACCTTTTATATCCAAATTTACATATTGCCATTATTACATTTTAAATACATATTACCAAAAGAAAAATAAACAACATTACTATATAAAACTTTAAGCAAAATAAGATATTCTATAAACTTCATCAAAAATAGTTATAACCCACATTACCAGACCACAAATAAAACATAAAATATAATATCAATCAAGTCAGCATACCATACTAATATTATGATACCTTATACAATATAATGCGGGCTATGATTGTAGAACGACATTTGAAAATATCCCGCATGTGTTTCTTTTGACCAAATAATCGAAATTTATCTAAAGGAGAAATAACGATTATTTCTAACCGTTCTACAATCATAAGCCGCATTATATTGTATAAAAATCACTATATATAATATTTACGAACGGAAAAATATGTCCAGGGTAGCCTAGTGGACATGTCATCTGTCCGGTAAGCGGAACATTGGGGGTTCGATTCCGATATCTGGACACTTTTATTTTTCCGTTTATCATTACTCTTCACAATTCATCCTTTCATACTTCATCCCTAAGGTTCTAAATAATCGTTATTTCTCCTTTAGATAAATTTTGATTTTTCGTTCAAAAGAAACACATGCGGTATATTTTCAAATGTCGTTCTACAATTATGATTTCTTAGCGCGCCATCTGTTATCAAAATTCGAAACTATTATAGACGCGTATGATTCTTTTTAAAATAATTTCCATTGCAGTAAGGGCAGTAGAAATTGTTTATTTTAAAAATAATCATACGCGACTATAATAGTTTCGAATTTTGATACCATACTAATCGCTAGCAATACCTATAAATAGAAACCTAAAGTATGGAATACAAACCTCTTAAACCATAAATATCTACAATAATTAGAAATTATTTTACAAAATCTATGAACTACAAAGAAAAAACAAACCTAATCTACAGAATAACATATATAGAATATAAAGCACATAGAAAAACATAGTAGAAACTTCTCGATTCTTCGAAACTAATCAAAAATCACAAATGTTGGTTAAAGAATGCTATCCGTTCTCAGCTATTGCTATTTGAGAATATTCAGGGCATCAGATTTTGAATAATTCATAATTCTGACTCCAACATGAAAAGCCCAAATATTGATAATAGAAGCTATGTAATCTGTTAACAACCCTCATTCAATCAATAAACGTATTTACTTAACAGTTTCAAGAATCTAATACTTATGTATATATATATCGTATTCATTAATTCATAAAGCTATATATACATTCCTATTCCTATAATTAAATTTAGATTCGAATAATTATTTATGTAAATAATCCAATATGTAAATATAAAAAGGAAACGTTTGAATAATATAAATATTAATATCAATGTATAACATTTTTAAATGCATTCATAGATTAATCTGTCATAATATGCTTATATGTAGTTGAGCGGATAAAAGGAAAATATTTTCCAAAAGATTCTCGTTTTATTAAATAAAATTAAAATAAATACTGCTAAATGAATTTTTAAAAATATTCTAAAAATATATTATTTTTTAGGATTTCATTAAAGAAAGTAAGAATTGAATCTGGCCCCACGGAATAATAATTCATAGAGTAATTTGGTCAAATATTTTAATATTATATTCACAATGTAGGTTATTATATTCCTTAGAATTAATTTTATAATCTAATTACAACAGGATAATCTTAACTAATTTTATATTTTTGAATTGTATCTCTCTCTCTCTTTGATTATCTTTTCGATAATTGCAGAAAAATAAAAATTCATAGAGTTTTCTAATCAATATTGAGCGTTATCTGAAAGACGATAGACACACTCTCTCAAATTTCTTCTATTTTAATATTCTGGAATATTCTCCGGAAACATATTTTCCACAGAGTGAAAAAAAAAAACGTCGACAAAACAAATATCTCGCTAGAGAATTCCTCTTCCTTTTTCCCTTGACATTTAACTGGGGTGATAAATATTGTCAGAGAAATGGAATTTTCTCCAACCGGCAACACTGGAGGGAGTCTTTTATATCCGGGACTTTTCTCTTTTTACCAGTATAATAGGACAATCTGTTTTCTGCGTATTTTTGTTGTGGGTGTATAGTGAATCTACTTCTTATCTTGTTGCTGTATGGAATTTACACATCGGAATTTCTGTTCTTTTCTAGAAATCCTATTTGCATAAGAGAAGATTTATGTATTACATATTTCCTTTTAAACTTTTGGCCTTCGTAAAATTGAATGTATTTTGAATGTTTGGAATGAATAAATATAGTTGATATATGTATTTTAGGAAGTATATATATGCATATATAAATAGGTGAATATACCACAGCAATTGCTTCAATATATTCAAACAGCAATCATTCTGAATACCATAGGTTTGAGCTATTGTCCTCATCGATACAGAGACGGCTTGGATTTCCTAATATCATACGAGAGAAGTTACAAGTTATTTGTATAAAATGGGGGGCTTTGTTGAAATGTAGTATTTTAGTTGGTGAAGCTGTAGGGCTGTTTCGAAAACATCGCCAATAATTGATAAAATGCATAATTTATTAAATTCTAAATAGAATTTACTTATTTATATAAAAAATAGATTCTTCGGCCAGTTGGAGTTTTTTATTTTCTCAACGTTTCGACAAAAATAAATGGCCGAAGTGTCTATTTTTTATTTAAATATGAATGCCGGCCAGGAAGCCTCTATCTTTAAGAGAATTTACTTATGGCGGCGTTACTTATCCCAAGGTACAGACCATTATGATCCTAGTGGATAGAGCCTTGCAGATAATTCTACTGCAAATGTAGCACATTCTTTACACACATGTAGAAACTGTATGATTTTGTACGTGTTGCTAGAGCCTTGCTATGCTACCTGATTTCATTGGTTGGATCAGACTTAAGTATGTCTGGAGACATTGATTAAAATTATTTATTATTATTTAATATAAGGTTGTCCCAAAAAGGTTCGTAAACATATTATTAAAATATACAAGTATCAGAGTCATAATCAACAATCAATCAACAATTCTGTCACCGTTTGCTTTTGTGAATGGAATAAATACCCAAATATGGCCATTTTTTATAAGCATTTGATAGGTTCTGGGCAAAAATAGCTGTTTTTTTAGGCAGAAAATGATTATGACAATATTGCTGTATCATATTTGATTATCAGATACAAAATTATATCCGGAAAAAATTCCAAAAAGCAGAGACCACGGGTGAAGCCAGTTCATTTTTAGTATGCAGGAACAAAATTCTAACAGAAAAACATTCATTCGAGCAGAAGACACAAAGCCAGATCATCTCTTTATAAAAATATCGCTTCTCAGACACAAAGTTTGGAGCGGGACGTTTCACAAGAATGACATCCACGGTGCCAATTTATAATTGTAACGAATAGTATTTGAATAAAAGCATTTAATCGGGTAAAACCCGGGCGTTGCCCGGGTCATTCGGCTAGTGATTTAAAATTTTCAAGTGTTTACAAACTTTTGGGACAACCTTGTAATTCTGAAACTTGGTGCACTTGCTGATTGGTCACTCTTAATATAGAAAACATCAGAGATTAAATTATTCTTCTATAAGAATTCTGTTATAATTTTACCAAAGTCATCAATATTACCGAGGTTGTTCCAAAAGTTCGTAAACACTTGCAAAATATAAATCATAATATGTTTAAGAACTTTTGGGACAGCCTTATAATAAAAAAGCTGCTCATTCCAGGATTCGATACTAGGTCCTGGTGGTTAAGAATCTACAGCCCATATACCATTGTACCATCAGAACCTATTTAATCCTACCTAGTATACTATGATGCTACCCTAATGGTATTGATTGGTTGTACATTCTGAAGCTCTCTATATATTCTATACATTCTCTCTCTGAAGATTCATCTTACCTGTTGGATCTTATATCTCTTCAAAATCTTGAAATTCATTCTCACTTTACATTCCCACAAACTTACTACCAGAGTTTCTCTTGTGACGCCTTTACTAATAAAATATACATTAATAAATTCTGACTATAAATAGTATATATGATTTTTCTGGTCTCTCTAAGCCAGGCCTTTCCAATATTTCTACATTTCAATTAATAACTGTTTATACTCTTCTTGAACTTGCGAGTATATATATATACTAGACGGGTGACCCGGGCTTCGCCCCGGGATTGACCCGTGTGCATATCTACCCGAGTGATATATATTTAGATAAGATTTTTTTTATAATTGTTTGTTATAAACATTATCTATTTGTTTGCATCAGCATAATATAATCTAATCTTTGATAGAGGACGCTGTTCGTGAGCTAAGTAGAATAATTTGAATATATAGTTTTAATAATTGATTTATATATTTTTTAAAATAGCCTATCGTCTTCCCCGTATTTTTTTACCTATGTATGAAAATTTTGGTTTGAATTAGTGAACTACTGCGAATTTGTATACCGGACATACAAACAAACAAACATACAAACATTGATTTTTATATATATAAGATATACTAAAGATATGTAAAAACGGTCTTTATTTAGTCAAAGGCAATTACAGTCGAGAGGTAGTTACTTTCCGGGGTAAATTCCTGCCCTAATATTCGCGTAAAATTCTTTTGAGATATATTCTTGTTCATCCCACTTCTTCATGATCCACTCGGCTTCTATTTTCTTGTCGTAGATCATCTTCTTGTCACTGTCAGGGTCTTCGAGATTCTTTCTTCTTTCACGGAGTGTCTCGGCGAAGACTTGTATTTGGTGGTCCAGGGAGTGATTTTTTTCTTCATCTCTCTTATAGTTTTGATTTGGTCGTCTGAGCAGATGATAAATTCGATGATATTTTTGTAAGTATCGTTCTCAGTGTCGAGAGATATAATCGATGTTGTGGATTTATCTGTGGTATTTTCTCTCTCTGTCTCCATGTCAGTGGTCAGCGGAAGGGTTGTCTTCACTCCTGGGGGGGTAGACTCCTTCCTTTTGTCTTGTCTTTTTCTCTCTCGTTGGTCGAGATTGTCGTCTTGAGACGCCTTAAAGGGTCTCTTTTTCGACGACGGTGTTTCCTCGTTTCCAGTAGATAATTTTGTGAGCTCATTTAAAATTTGCTTCATTTTTCCAATTTTGATGTTAAGGGCTCTCCTCTGCTCACTTTTAAGGTCACTGTAATATTTGGATTTAATATTTTCCTGTTTCTCGAGGTAGCAGGATATCTTGATCTCAAGGTCAGGATGTTGTTCCAACTGCTGTAGGACCTTAGTTGCCCTCGAGGTACCGGCCTTCTTGTAGATCGTGGCGATAATTCTCTCCACTAAAGATATGTTTATAATCAAATTTTCGAGATAAGAGTGAAAAAGAGGGCTGTATTTTGTTCATGAAGGATTGAATTATTTAAAGGACAAAATTCTATACCGATATTATAATCTCATTAGAATAATCTGTTTCCTTATTTAAAAAAAGAAAAGAAATGAAGGAATCTATGGTGTAAACGTCTAGTACTGTAGCCTTTT